GACCCCCTCCCCCGCAGGTCTCCAGTCCCCAAGGCACATGACGCTCATCATAAGAACATCTCTTAAGAAACGTCTTACTCAACTCCCATACATGGTTGGGGTTCAAACATGAGTGGATTCCAGCCCCCCCCATATGTGGTCGTACAGGTGGGCCTTTTAAAACTCACTGAAAAGAGTTGTTTTGTTATTCACAGCATCTTACGGGGCCCTATTTATGAGGAAGAATTCAGTAAAAGGAATAGTTGGGTTTCTTACTGAGCAACTAGCTTGTTTTTATCTTGTCCATACGGAAGCTGTCCTGGCTCAGAACCAAATCCAGAGTCCCCTTCACCCCCAGCTGCATCCTACTCTCCTGTCCTATTTTTTTGTTCACTCTTTCATTCCCATTTTTATTTTGTTACATATAGTTTTGGAGCTACCTTAAATCTTTCTGGAACAGGTGATATAGAAATGAATAAATGGTCCTGGCTGGTGTAGCTCAGTGGCTTGAGTGCCGGCCTGCAAACCAAAAGGTTGCCAGTTCGATTCCCAGTCAGGACCCATGCCTGGGTTACAGGGTCCCCAGTAGGAGGCGCGTGAGAAACAGTGATGTTTCTCTCCGTCTCTTTCTCCCTCCTTTCCCCTCTCTGTAAAAATAAATCTATTTTAAAAAAAAAATGAATAAATGGCCAGACATTTAAACATCTAAAAAAATTCTAAGGAAAAAAAGTAGAATGTCATCATTTGGGACTAAAATAGAAGACTTTTCAGGAGAGAGAAGATATTCTTAAAAAGAATGAACAGCCACTAACAGTCCTGACTAGGAAACTTAGGGGTGGGGTGTGGGGTAAAACTAGAAAAGTCCCACGTCCCTGAAGAGACACCCCCCGGAGGGAAGAGCTTAAAGGCACAAAGTGAGGGGGACAGAGAAGTCAGAACATCGCCAGGAAAGCTGAGCCAGCATTTACAAAAGAAAGAACAACTGAAAAAGTGGTTTAAAATTATGTTTAGAGGAAGGGGAGTAGGAATGGGGGCACCCATTGCTCAGGACTGACGACGAAGACCAGGGGTCAGCACATTTTCTTCAGTAAAGGGACAGATGGCAAACATAGCAGGCGCGGTGGGCCTTATGGTCTGTCACAGACACTTGGCTCTGCCACTGTCACGGGACAGTAGCTACTGTCGGTTTGTAAAGGGATGCGCACCGATGTGTTCCGATAAAACTTTATTTATGAACATTGAAATCTGATTTTAGTATAATTTTCATATCACTAAATACTGTTTTTAATGTTTTTTCAACTACTTAAAAATATGAAACCATCCTCAGCGGTGGGCGAGATCGGGCCGTGGGCCAGTGTGCCGGCCCTAACACAGACCCAGTGAGCCAAACCAGGCGCCCGCCACTTTACTACCACCTCCTCTTCCAGGGAAAACCGTCCTCACACCCGAAGGAGCAGGACAACATGGCGCCGTGGGACGCGCAGGGCAAGGCGAGCAGGTGGCTGGGGCGGCCAGGTGCTTCCCCACTCGGCTGCCTCTGCGAGGGCCGTGGCTGTAAGAGGTACCCGTGGTCTTCGGGGGATGCCAGGGGACGGGAGGTTCCAGGGGCCCGGACGACAGGAACAATCACATTCTCAGAAAGGAGCAATAAGAAAACTATTGATCTGGGCCAGAAAGTGATTTCCAGTCAAGTTTGCAAGCGTATTGTGAGTCAGGAGTGTGGGCGCTCCGGAAGGAGACAGTGACTGGTTTGGGCTCACAAGGCGTATGAGAACGCGCCAAATTAACATCGGGTGTGTATTTCTTCTTACTACAAAAGCAACACATGCCATCAGAGAAAAATGAGACACTGCAAAGAAGCAAAAAGAAGGGCAGGAAAGTCTCGTGACAATCCCTGTAACACCTGGGGATATACTTTTCCAGACCTGTAGGTACGTATTTTTAAATGAGATCACACGTTGCTCATACGATTTGTTACTGAATATTCACGCACATCTTTTAATCAAAATCATCATTTTTTAAAATCCTCACCTGAGTATATGTCTATTGATTTTGAGAGAGAGAGGAGGGGGTGGAGAGAAAGAGAAACATCAGTGTGAGAAAGAAACATTGCCCGACCAGCGACCACACCCACGACCAGGTATGCGCCCTGACACAGCGCTGAATCCACAGCCTCCTGGTGTGCAGGATGACTCTCCAAGCAGCTAAGCCACCTGGTGAGGGCACCACTTTCTGTTGCCTGAAAAGTTAAGGACATCATATAGATGTTGCAGAATTTAACCATTTGCCTCTGTTTTAGGCATTTAGGAAATCTATCCCCTAAGCTGCACTATGTAGCTCAGTTGTCATGTTTTGGCAGACAACATGAGGTACCCCAAAAGACCGGATGGGTGTGAACCTACAGGGAGACAGCCCAGCAGAACGAGGGAGGGCCTGGAAGACACAGAACGGGCTCGCAGGAGGTGGCGGCCCCAGACGCCAGAGGCGGCCGGGCAGCCAAGCAGAGTGATCATCTGCCCGAGGTCACCGAGGACATTCCTGGGCACGGCAGATACTGGGCTAAATGCTCGCCTCCCTCCCCTGCTCCCTTCCTTCTGCAAGCATTTCCCACGCACCTCTGCTGCTAGGGACAGAGCTACACACTCTTTCCACTGGTTCCTCCAGCAACTCCGAGCCACGTCTTTCCTTTTGCAAGTGTGGGATAGGTGTCTCCGTGACAGATACAGGAGAAGGGATATATTAACAGGTATGCCCTTGGGAAAACATTTAAAAGTAAATATTACTTTCCTAACCGTACATACAAATTAAATGTGGGCTGCTTTTCCAAGTTCTAATTACACTGTTTGGAAATCTACTTATCTTAGGAAGGCCTGCAAACTAAGTAATCAAATATTTTCAGGAATGGACCAGAGCATGCCGGGAGTTTGCACCAAAGGCTCAGCCCCCGAAGTCTGCAGCGAGCAAGCGCCAGAGCCGTTCGGAAGGAGAGCGGTTGGATCATTCACTTCATTACCAGCAGAGCTCCAGCTACCATGGCATCGGGCGCTGGGCAAGGGCTAGGGCCTGGGGCACTCTTTGCCTTGATGGTTTTGGGAATAAACCGTTGAAACCTTAACTTCACAATACCAAACCGAGACGTGCCGCTCAGTGCCAAATACTGTTCATACGGGGGAGGGGAGGTGTCTGCTCCCTTCCAGCCAGAACGACGCGCAGGCAGGCTGCCGGTGGGTAGGCGGGCAGGCTTCCCAGCTGCACCATGGTTGCCCAGTGCTGAGCTTGCAGGCCTTATGGAGCCAGCGGGTCCTGCGGGGTGTTTCTGGCAGCATCACAACAAAGCAGTCCTGGACCCTGGCAGAGCGATTTGGTGCCTGCAGCCGCCAAGGAGGCCCAAGCTGCCTGCTGCTGTGGGCTGCAGCCTCAACTAACTCTGTTTGGAAGATAAAATCCAACCAACTGCCATTTACATAAATGTAACAGGAAGTTCCTGAATGGCTTCCCCTGTGTCTTGAGGCCGTTACCTCGGTATTGCTAAACTAACAGCTGAAATGAACCCAGACAACACCTCATCAAAGGCAGGGGGGCGAGGAAGCAGTGGTCCAGAGGCAGACAGGCGCGTTCCTGCCAAACGCGAGGAGATTTCGCTCTGTGGGCCCTTTTCTGCAGAACCGTCAACAGCTGGGAAAGCCATCAGAGAACCCAGGCGGGGTGGAGGGGGGCAGCCGAACACTCCGGCTGGAAAAAGGTTTGCAAACTGGAGGGGGAAAAAAAAGTCATCTGCTTTGACTGAGCCTCTTCCTTATGTGTGTTCGGAACGGGGACGCCCTGCTGGATTTCACAGGCCTGTGTGCCTGGCTCTGCCACGAGGCACCTGGGGAAACGGTCAGCTTTCCTACAAAATAGGTCATCTTTCCACACTTGTTATGTTCCTTGTCGACTCTGCTGAAATAGCCACAGCACAAAAGCAGCTCTTGGCGGGATGCTTTCCTTAGACAACATGCTCCCTCCACCCTTTGGGAGCCTGGCTCCCGGAGGGAGGCCAGGGGCATGGGCTCTGGGGAAAGCCCTGTCCTTCCCTTTCTCCTGCAGGTGTGCCACCCAGAAATGGAACAACTGGCTTTTGCTTTTACTTCCAAACCTATTAGGGAGTGATCATAACAAGAAAAACTAATACTGACACGAATTATACCACTGTTCTATTTCATCTATTTAGTAACCTGAAGTTGCAATTTTTAGAACAAAGATTACCTTTTAAATAACTGATTCATTATGGTACATGAATGAATGCCATGTTCCTGTGTTCAAAATGTCACTCACCATTAAGGGTGTGTGCTGGTAAGTGGCACCGATTTGCCACTTCCCCCTTAGATACAGACACCCCTGATTGGAGGCCCAGTATAATCGGAGGCAAGTTTGTGGGTTTCCTCAGCTCTTAGCAAGTCATCTGCCCTGCCAGGCACCTAATGAATCTCAATTCTGTAATAAGGCTTGTAAGTTTCCCCTCCCCGGGTGAAGGTGAAAAGGAAAACGAGGACTGATGAAGTTTCTGCCAAGGTACCACTATCAATTTCAAGGCCAAGTTCAGAAATCAGACTCACAGGATGGGGGTGTGAGGGGGAGGCCGCCGGCGCACCCTCTGGCCACAAACCCGGCTTTGAGAAACGCGAGGTGAGGAAAGACCTGGATCCGGGAGAGCCAGTGGGCCCGGCCCCAGCTCTGTGCTGCTCCCCAGTCCCCGTGGGAAACCTGCCCTGGATTTGGCAGGTGAACAATGCAGCGACTATTCTCTGGAAACCTCCCTTCAAGCTTGTGAAATCCACACATTGTTTTTCATCATTAGTTTCAAAACATGCTGAGTATTTGGCCCTCCTCTAAGTGCTGCGGTGACACAGAGGAAAGGGGAGGCCTGGTCCCTGCTGGGAACAGGCCCCTAGCAGGGAGAAAAAGAGGTAAGACAGAGGCCAGCAGAGCCAGGAAGCACATCGCGGGCGATGGTGCGGGACAGCTGCGGCCGCCCCACGTACCTGAGATGGCGTACAGGTTGGAGTGCTGGTACTCGTAGTCGGCCCGCGTGCTGTTCCTGCCCCGGAAGGTAGCAGGGAGAGTGAGAGAGATGTGCCTGAGGAAGAGACAGAGGAGAAAAAGGACGTTACAGGGTGTACGAAGCAACCCCCCGAGGCTCAGAAAGCCCCTGGCACCACGGGCGGCACACTGCGGCTCGGAGCAGGAGTGGGCGCCCTGGCGAGCAGTGCTTCTCCGCCAGCCTGAGTCCCTCCGAAGAATTCAGAAGTTTCCAGACCATAGCAGCCACCTTTGTCCACACCAGCAGGGACATTCAAGAGAAAGTAAGGGTTTCCCCAGCCTACAGCATGTGCAAGCTTCTTCAAGGATGGGGGCAACTTAGTCCAGGTCTCTGCCCACCAGGCAAAATATACCCAGAGCGTCAGAACACTCAAGCTGTGAATGAGAGCCTTGGGTGGTTCTGCCGTACTGGCTCCATTAGCCATCCATCGGCTTCCCTACCTTCCCCGCAGAGCCGCTGGGCATAACAGCGCAGGAAGCACTTTGTGAGCGAAGGTGGGTATGATTGCCTTGTGGGTCCAGGAAGCTAAGACTGCTGAGAACGGGAAAGGCACACTCCTCTGAGCTGCTCATCTGCAAGTTCCCCCTCTGGCAGGAGCACACAGTAGGTGCTCAGGAAAGCACCTTTGATTGACCAGTGTGTCTTCTCCGGCTCAGGTGTTGGCCATGAAAGCCACCATGCACACGGAGCATATGTGAGTATTCAATCAAAGCAAATAATCCATTCAGTGTGGTTGTCAGCTGCCGTTAGCAAATGTGGAAAAAGCAAGATCAGAATAATAGGAGAAATATTTAAAACCCCACAGGTCTGAGGGGCAGAAAACACCACCCACAGAAATACCTCTTCTTGGCATTACTGGGGGTCAGTCTGAAATAGCTCAGCAGCCTGAGCTCTGGCTACACTCAGTCATTTCCAAAAGGGGGGACACACTCACTACATAAAGCTTTACGTTTCACACGTTGCCTTTTTCACGCGACACGTGGGCGACGGCTGGAATGATTCTGGTACATGTGGACCCCGGGAGGAAAGGCTTCCACTCAGGGCCTGTTCCTACAGAGCCGGGAATGAGCAGGAGCCTCCTGGGACTACGCGGGTGCCCAGGGCTGTGGAGGCATTCGGTTTGCGGAGTGAGCGCTGATGGCTGTGCCGCCGACCAGCCCGGCTCACCAGGCCGGGGCCTTCACTGAGCACCAACCGTGGGCTCGGGGCTGCACTGGAAACAGCAGGTACAGCATGTGGACACGGGCCCACGTGCAGAGTGAATGCGCGTGATGCTAACTAAGGGTGCAGGGTAAGCTCCCTGAAGGAGTTCTCTGGCCACAGGGGACAGAGGTGCAGGCACAAATCACCTTGCAACATGACATGCTTGGAGGAGAATAAAAACTGGGTGCTGAGTGAGCATGAAAGAAAGGAACAACATATTTGGATAAAGGGGACAGAGCTTCTAGCGACACCTTCTCAGAGGAGTACAAGGGTGTTAAAGGAGTAAAAGGGGCTCACTGGGTAGTCAGAGAAAGCTGATACTCCGGTGCAGGGTTATGGTACACATGGGACACGAAGCTGGGACGCCAGGCCAGGGCCAGAAGGGAAAGAGGTTTGGGTCCTGTGCCCTAAGTTGAAGGTTCCCAACGCTGTCCTGCCCATCAGGGCCCAGATGAAGGCATTAGAGTCACCCGGGAACTTGCTAACAATACAGATTCACAGCCCCGACCCTGGGGAGTCTGGTTCAGTGGGCCCGGGGTACAGTCCAGAAATCCATTTTTAACAAGCTCCAGCAGCGGCTCTGAAGGCTGGCCAGGCCTGGGAAACCTGAGAGGGTGCGGAGCAGCTGCAGAGGGGCTGCGAGCAGGTGATCGATGCCTCTGACCACAGCACTTAGTCAGTGAAGCTGAGCAAACACGAGGATGAATTATTGACTGTGGCTGTGGTTGAGCAGAGCTAAAATAATGACAGGTGACCCTGCAGCGAGGGCCTGCCATGTGCCAGGCCCTGGGGTATGTGGGTCTCCCGCAGTCTCCTATGGCTCCTCACGTTGCCCTGCAAGGCAGACATGGGGCCAGCTACCCGGCGCACAGGGCTCAGTGCAAAATAAAAATGTGGGGCTCTGGTTCAACTGTTATTAAGAATTTCAAGACGGTGACAGCAAAGCATTAAGCAGGTGTGGGGCCCTTGTGAGCATGGGGCGCCATGGGGCTGGCTGGCGGCACAGCTGTGATGCTGGCCAGGGTAGGTGCTGTAACTGCGCCCAGGGTGCCGGCAGTTTCTGGGAAGAGCTGCGCTTCAGGGCTGCCACACCCGAAGATCTCCAAGCTCTGAAAGCTCAAAGAAGGTGCGCTCGGGAAGGCTCATGGAGGAGGTGGGGCCAAGCGGAACTGGGGGAGGGAAGGGGGTGGCCCAGCCTTGCGGTGGCCTAGTCCTTGTCTGGCGCTATCTACAGAGCACTGCAGGGGACTCAGGAGTGGCAGGACAGGCAGGGCCCTGCTTTTGCAGAGCCCGCCCTTGGCAGGGGACACGAACACATCCAGGAAGTCACAGGACACCTGCTCACAAATGCAGTCACATGTGGAAAGCAGGGACACGGAGGCGCTGTGCAGAGCTCTGGCCAGGGCTTCCCGAGGACTGAGGACAGCAGGGCTGTGGGTGACGTGAGGGTGGGCGGGGGAAGGGGGGTGGCCGGCAGGGAGGAGCGGAGGGCTGGGAGCGGAGGCCTGCTAAGTGGCCGGAAGGGTGGTGGAGGGAAGACCTGGAAGGAGGCAGGGATGGCCAGAGCCTGAAGGCCAGGGAGAGAGGCTCTGGGACCAGGCTGGAGAGGCTATAGGGCCAAGCCCTCAGGGCGCTGCAAGAGCTCTGGCTTTATCTGGGAGGATTTGTAAGCGGGGATGTGACAAGATCCAATTCGCAATTTAAAAAGATTGCCTGCCTGTGGGAAAGCGAGGGGAAAAAATGCTGAGATGCCCTGAGTGATGGGCATGGAGCAGCAGGTTAGGAGGCAGATCACCATGAACTTGGAAACAATTACTCAGAACCTACTGTGTATGGACCCATAACAATTCCTGCCAAAATGACCTGCTGCAACCCTCTAAGTGAACAGTTTCGGGGTGATTCTATGGCATATGGAACTTAAAGAAGTATACACAGAGAAGTCCCAGCAGCTGGCTCCTTCGCTGCCCCAGACCCCACATGGCCTGCGCTTCCTGGCCTCTCCAGGCCCTCAGATTTTGCCTGGCGGACCACACTCTGCAGCCCACCTCCCTTGGCTTGATTTTCCCTTCCTTCCTTCCTTCCTTGCAGATGGCTCCTTCTGGCTCCTCCTCCAGCCTTTTAAAGGCTGCTGTTTTCCAGGGTTCTGGTTTAGCTCCCCTCTCACCCCATACACTTGCCTTGCGCGACCGAATCCACAGCCATGCCCTGGTTTCTGCTGTTTCCACAACCAGCCCAACTCTCCAGACTCTGTCCCTTGTCACTGCCTCTTTCTCCCTCGTCTGGTTTGTGCACTCACCTCCTCCAACCTTACCGGCTTGCTTTTTGTCTTTTTCCTCCCCCGCATTCCTGACTCAGGGCCTTTGCACTTGCTGTTCCCGTGGCCCGAAAGACTCTTCCCCCAGCTCCCAGAAGCGGGCTCCTCCTCCTCAGCCAGGCCACCTCCCTGAGGAGGCACCCAGCCCTGTGGCTCTCTCCCAACTCACTCCGCCTGCAGAGCCCTTCCCAGTCTGGAGGGCGGCCTCACTTGCCTACGTTTCTCCAGAGCACAATCTGCCTTCTGCTTGCTCTTTCCACCGTATCCCCAGGGCCCGGAACAGTGCCCACCACACCATGGTCACTTAAAAAATATGAGGGAGACCCCGTAATGTTACCTAATGCTTGTTAAGTGAATGAACAAATCTGACTCTTATAATCAGAGATGCTCTCGGAGAAGTTCAGAAAGGCTTCACGCTTATCTCCTTCTCACCACTGGAACTGGGCTGGTTAACGGTTTGGAAAATGCAATTATTTTTGATTCATGGATACTTTTACATAAACAGTAAATAGATTCATCATGGCATTGCTTATAAAACCAAAAACTGGAATAAAATGAAATATCAAATAATAGGGGACTGGTTAAAAATCATGGTACAACTGTCTAATAAAATATTTTATACTCAAAATGTTTTGGAAGACGATGATGGCAGAATGCAGGCCTATTACCAGAGCAGCTAGTGAGAAAAGGTATATATTGTAAAATCCTTATTTTTACACTTGGAATTGTGATTGTTAACCCCATACTCTAGCTTCTTTCCCATAACATGGCCGTCTACTGAGATGAAAAGAACGCCCTGCTCACAACACGGGGCGTTACCAGAGGAGAGAGGAGAAGCCGCCAGGAAGCCGGCTCCACCCGGCATGGCACCTAGAGACGCAGACCTCCTGGTACCACCCCCAGCAGGACCTGGACCCATGGAGTAAGGGACTGGCCACCGGGGACCAACGATTTCTGCCACTTGCCCACATGATGAATCGTTATTCCGAGGTCTGTTGGGTAGCTGGAGAATTCTAACCAGAACAGCTCCTAAGTGCTCACGGCCCTTGACTGAGCTTTCCTCTCTGTGCCCTGCCCAAGGAGCGGCCCTCCCCTCAGGGGGAGACCGGGCGCACCCCGCTGAGCGACCACCTCTCTCTGCAGGAGGGCTGTCCTGCAACAAATCCCACAGGCTGCCAACAATGGCTCGGCGAAATAGATGCGGAGGGAAATTTCATTTTTTCCTCCAAGTCAGTCTAGGCTCCTTATTCAATTAACATGGCCACTAAGCTGCAGACAGCTCCATATAAAAGCCCTTCAGTTACAGAATACATTTTATTATGTGACAATAGTTGCCAGCACGATTTATTCCCTTTGATGGGTTTCTGCTTTTTCCTTGTTAATTTAAATCTGTATTTTCTAGTGCTGATTCCAGGTCTGTGTGAATTTTTAAAATGTGACCATTAATCTTCTGGACCCAGTGGCCACATATAACGAAGACGGCTCTGCCCAGGCACCGGCGATGCCTGCTGTCTCTCCA